GGCGGGTTGTTCAAGCCGGCTTGCTTCCGTAAACCTTAAGCTAGAAAATAAACAAGTCGCGAGCAGCAAGTAACATGGCAACAAGAAAAGCTTTTACCCTCCTTTCTGAACCGTTCTAAAGTCAAACAAGTTAAACACAACCACCGGTCTAGGAAGAAATCACGCAGTTAACACGATATATCGTTCCAAGAAGTCGTCGTGTTGGCTTGCTTCCGTAAACCTTAAGCCAGAAAATAAACAAGTCGCGAGCAGCAAATAACATGACAACAAGATAAACTTTACCCTCCGCTCTAAAATCAAGCAAGTTAAACACAACTACCGCTCTACGAAGAAGTCACGCAGTTAACACGATATACCGTTCCAAGAAGGAAGCAATAGCGTCGCGTCTGTTCCAAGAAGTCGTTATGTTGTTAAGCAAAGCAATAATAAAAAGTTAACAAAAAAAAAAGAAAATAATAAGTTATAAAAAGGTATAAAAAAAATTATTCATTTTATAGTTACGATTCTTCTATCACTATCAATCATCTATTATTCATGACGAGGCTATCGTGTGAAGAATACTCAGCATAAATATAAAAATCTACCCCTATTAGTTTGCTATCATCAAAAATCATACTACATATATTATTATGTAATACAGTCTCAATCATTTCACAGATGGTCTGATAGGCATGTGTTACATTAATAAAAAAAATTCGCAAACTGCGCTTTAAAGCGCTATCGACTGTATAATAAAAACTTGAATATTCAATTTCAGTTATTTGTAATAGTTTTTTTCTCAATAATCTACCCCCGTAGTTACCGTTGTGTGATATGCAAAATTCACTGTTTACGAAACTCGCATGAAGATCTTATAATACGATCATTGCATTAATTTTTTTTCACGATCTATGACATATTAATTGACACGAATTACAAAAAACAATTACATCGGCCCAATGAGATGATCTTATATGCTTTTATACACTTATATATTGATACAATCAGTTACCTTTATAGTCATCAACAAACAAAACTATATTCAATGCATTCCAACACAACAAGCAACATCCAACGAATTTGGATTTAATGCATTCCAATCACAACAAGCATTAACCAGTGTATCTGGATTTAACACACTCCAACCATGCCAACAATCAGAGGGAATAGAAACAGCAGCAGTGAGAACCAAAGGCAAAGAACCTGAACTTTATTATGTCAACCTTTCCAAACATCACAAGCAGCAACCAACGAATGGATTCAATGTTTTCCAAGCACAACAAACAGCAACATTCGAATCCGAATTTAATGTTTACCAACCAACAAGCAGACTTGGATTTAATGCTTTCCAACCACAGCAAGTAACAACCAATAAACCTGGCTCAAGTGAGACTTCTCGCCTCAAAATCTACAAAGTAAAAATTGTCGGACTAAGAAAAGCTTTTGGAATTTTATGAATAGATTGCTGGATTTAAACAAATTTGAGGTATTTCATATTCAGGAACTCAAATTGTATTTGTATCATAAAGATATTATTATATAGAATAAATTAAATCGACAACGAAATATTCAAGTTTAAAGTTTTCTGATGCCAACTATTTTATTTGTATGATATAAATTAAAGTAATCATATATAACCTATGATTAAAAAGCAAACAGAAAATGCTGCCTAGAACTTAGTAAATACATAAAGCTAATAAAGGCAAATTTAAAAAAATTTAAAAAAAATCTTGAGTATGCTATATTACTCTCAATTAAGAAATCGGTCAGGTAGTTTCAACGGAGATTGCATTGGTAATTGAAATTTGTAACGCATATTTATTCTCAACATTATATCCCTTTAATCTCATCATTATTTCTAACAATCTATGACAATATACAGAATCCTTACATCCAATTCCCAGTTCATGACTTTCAAAATTCCATGAGAAATCATATTTATCTTTTATATAAACTTTTACGTAAATGTTAATTTTAGCTATGAAACTATCTTTTATGTTCTAACAAAAAAATGTTCTTTATGAAATTTATTATACACCCATTATAATATAAAAAACTTAATATTTCTTATGACTAGTATATTAATTATGTATATAATAATGATTTAACTTTTGTCACGTGAGATCATGAAAACATATAATCTCTTTCTTATAAAACTGATCATTATGAAAAATATAAGCAGTTATGTTAATTTGTTGTGAATATTAGAAGCATGTTATACTTATTTTTTTACAATTTATAATATATCAATTAATAATATAAATATATATCAAGTAGTAGATATGAAAATATTACTACTATTATTTTTTATATTTTATGATATATCTTTAAATATATATCATATTATAAAATTATTGGAATTTGGAGTAAACTTCAAAAACAAATACAATTAGAGTTTTAATAAATAAATATATACTAATATATAATATATCAATCTTTGTATTCAAATATTTAATTATAAAAATAATATATTATTTAATAACTTTTGATAAGTTCTATAATTTAATGTAGTTTTTTGTAAAGTTTAATAATAATTTAGTAAGCAGTTAGAGTTTTTCAAAGTTATTTTCATAGTAATAAACTGGCTATGTTTAGATTTAAGTAATTAAAATAATAATATAAGTGATTACTTATTGATTTATTTTATAATATAATCAGAAATATTTTAAAATTTATAGATTATTTCTAGAATATTTATAATCATCCTTTATATTTGATTAGTATTTAATAAATATTAAATTAACAGAGTATTATAAAATTTCTTTATAAATTTAACTATTAATCTATTTATATTTAAATATATAACTTTAGAATCTGCAAGAATCTCTAAAATCTTATATATAATATTTTATATACAAACTGATAATAAATTCAAAACTAGAGATTAAAGATCTACTTTATATATTTATTTTTCTTGAGAAAGATTATTCAAAAAGTAACTTAGCAAAATACAAAACTAAAAAAAAGCAAAAATAATAATATATATTTGTTAAAGTAATAACAAAAAATAATAGAAATAAATAAGTATTATTTTGAATTAATATTATTATTTAATTCTTTAGAATATTACTTTTTATATAAATAATACTATAATCAAATTATTACTAAAAATAAATAAATAATTTTTTTTATATTTAGATAAGTCTAAAAGAAAGATTAAAAACTTCTAATATTAATAATGAATTATAATTTAAAAAGCTTTTATTAATTATAATATTCAAGTTAACAAAACTTTTATTAATTTTGAAGTCCAAATATTCTTTTAGATTTATATTATAAAATTTTTTTAAGAAGAATTAGTAAGCTAAAAGATTTAAATAAATAATTATTAGTTATAAATAAAATTTTAAAAAAAAACTAAATGAAAATCAATAAGATTATATCTAATTTTTCATAAAAATTGCTAAAAAAGAATGAAATATTTATATAAAAATATAATAAATTTAGTAAAAAATCAAGAATAATTTTATTTAAATAATCTTTTAGAATATTTTTCTTTTAAATAACTTATAGAATAAAATCTAGTTATTATAAAATCTATATAACTTTTATATATAATAAAATAAATTTAAAGAAGAAAATCTTTTTAAATATATAATAGCTATTAATACTATATATAAATTATAATACTTAAAATATATATTTATAATTAATTTAATTATTTTAGTAATTAAATATTTATTAATATAATTAAAAATAATTATTAATATTGATAATTATATTATTAATTCTAATAGTTATTTTAAGTTTACTAATTAGTTAAAAAGTCTAATTACAAAATAATTATTACTTTTAGATAATCTTTAATTTTTAGTTTTTAATAATAAATAAAAAAATCATAAAATTACTTAAATTATAAATATAATATAGTTATATTTTATACTATTATAAATTTTATTATTTTCAATTATAATCTAAATAATAATATTCAGATTATAAATTCTTAACTATATTCTGAACTTATTTTAAATTAATATAAAGAATTATTTTATTTAATATTAGATATAAAAAATAAAATTTATAAAAAACTTACTAATTATTTTTTAATTATTTTAGATAAACTTTTAATAGAAAAAATCAAGAAATAAATATGATTAATAATATAATATATTTATTAAAGTCAAATAAAATATATAAAAAAGTATTTTATCTATAATAATTTTAATTAAATTATATTTATTCTAGTTTAAATTTTTATTTTATATTATTATATTATATTATATTTTTTGTATTACTTATTTTAACTATTATTTTTACTCTGAAATATAAATAATTATTAATTAATTTAGAATTTTATATTATTATATAGATAATTACTATGTAATTTCTAATTATTAATTTAGATAATTAATATTTTTAATTATTTTTATAATTTTATTATTTCTTATATTTTTATTTACCTATATTTATTATTATTTATATAATTTATATTTATTATTAATTTATTAAATTATAATTCATTATTCTTTAAAAATATAAATTAAGCTGATTAATTATATTTAATATATATATTTTATATTATTAATTTATTTATATTTTATATTTATTTCTTTTCCTATTCAAATAATAAAATTATAAGTATTTATAAATTAAAATTATTTACTTTATATTTTATCTTATTTATAATTATAAATAAATAATTTTATAATATTTATCAAGTCTTAAATATTAATAATAAAAAATAGATTGTTTTATATATTCTAATAAATTATTTATAATTAATAAGATGAATTAATAACTTAATAAGTTATCTAATATTATAAATATTACTGATAAATATAAGTTTAAAAAATCAAATAAGCAAAAATTAGCTTTTAAAATTTATATATCACAAATATTTATTTCTGATCTGATAGAAATTAATTTTAATTCAATTACTAATATTTGAAAAGTTTTTGAGTATATTGAAAAAATATCTGAAGTTAAAGATAATAAAATATTACATTATTATATTTAAGCAATAAAAAATAATTTTTCTTGACTTATATTAATTTCAGATATTCTTTATAAAAAAATAAATATATTAAAAATATTATCAAATTAAATTGGAATATTAATATAAAAGATTTTACTTATTATTAAAAGTATTAAATTGAAAATTAATTTTAGTTCTTCAAATATATTCAGGTTATTATAAATTATATAATTCAGTATATAATATATATAAATATATAATAGCTTCTGAATTAATATAATTTCTAATAAAAAATTCTTCTATTAAAGATTATTTAAAATAAATATAAAATTAAATTAAATATATATAAAACTAAAATATAAATAAATTTTATTTATTTATAAGTAATTATTAACTTATATAATATATTAATATTTATTTTAATAAATCTTTATTAAAACTTATAGTTATATAAAAAAACTTATAGTTATATAAATATTTATATTTTTAATTTGTTTAATAATGTTCAATTTATTAATTGATTGAGATTTATAATAAAGAATAATATTATAATTAAAGTTTGAAGTTTGTAATTTAATCTCATAATTTAAACTTTTAAATTAATATTAAGGATATGATATAATGCTTAAAGAATTTAATAAAATACTTATATTATTAATTTCTCTAATATCTTTACACTTGGTACATGTTTGACCATTTCGTAAGAATAAAATAATTTTCAGTATAATTTTAGCCCATTTGAGCCTTAGACAAGTCAAATTATAGTAAAGTTCAAAGTAATTTAAACAGCATTACCTTTTGGTTATGAAAACATCTTCCGAGCATAAGACCATCAACAACAGCACCAACCACTACGAAATGGAGCCCCATTTCGTATTCCGCGAGTAACTGCTTCGCGGTCCTGTTTCTAATATCTTTGACCGTTTCACCAGGTTAGCTGCTCTTTCAATGAAAAATAAAACACCGATACTAGGGAAAGCGAATCCTGGAGATCTAATTAAAGCATATATCAGATATATTACCAAATTATAATTAATTTGGATCAACTCACTTTCCAGATTCTCCTCTAAATACATCAGTATAAATCTGGTATGTATCACGTATCCGCTTTGCTCAACAAATTCTATTGGTTTAGCGCATGAATATGAACACTTGAAATTTATTTCACCACCCAGAGGAGATGCTCCGGACATTCTCCTATGTTGAAAAACTCATTGAGAAGTTGACATCACCAAGTTCTTCATCGGATATAAAGCTGAGAGTAGAATTGAAATCACAAATCAAAAGATCATTAGATATCACCGTCTCAATACAATATATAGTATATATAATCAGGACCGCTTATAAATATAATAGTTTCTCGGAATAAACGATAATACTTTTGAAGCATTTATCCAAGTTACAATAAGATTAGAATTGAGGATTTCATTTTACTGGAAAATGGCAATAGAAATAATAGAAGTGAAAGCAAGTTTTTTAAAAATTTGATAAGCCAAACCTTTTTAACAAATATTCCGACGCCCATAAACCCAGATTCATGAAGTTCCGAACAAGCAAAAATTACAAATCATAGCATTCTGGAGTGAAATCTTTACTGGTGCAAATGTTAGCAATTATAGATAATTATACAATTTATTAAAAATCAAAAGCCTCGGCGTAAGCATAAAGGAAACAATCTTAGAAATTATATAGAGATTCAATATTCAATAAACATGCGTAATTTTCTTGGCATTCATACATAGTATCAAAATCCATGTGAGATGTAATAATGTCACAGTCTTTCGAATCATAGTATACATCCACTACAATATCAAAATCTGCGGAAATTGGATCATGTCCTGATTTAAGCTTGTACAGTCAATGAAAATAGATTAGAATCGGCACACCCGTTAACTTGATTAAAGCCCCAAAAAGAAGGACGGCAAGAATTTGTTTGGATCATCAGTCAAAGATTTATTCAAATTATTCGGGTCGCTTTCTGTATTTGTTGCGACTAACAATTCATTATAGCTGGTTCGGTTTCAATGGTTCGTATTTCCTCATTGATCATGGATGCGCCTAGCATTCCTACAAAATAACTGTAAAAAAATAAGCAAATGTCATCATTACCAATAAGGTTAAAACCTCCCGGAGTCGAGACTGGGAAGCTTCTTCTCATGTATCCTATTCATCAACTTCATGAGATAGACAGTAGAAGGACGTTCAAAGGAGGTTACTCGACCCATAACCTCACATGGCCACGATGAGATTCCAGTTCTCTGCTATCTTCATACTTCTGATGGCAGCGTAACTTCAGATACATATGGTTAGACAAATCCCTTAATAAAACAAACATCTCACCTTATTCTGTTCTAGCAAATCTTTATGCTCTTCAACCCGCTGAAACTTTTGGAGCGAAAATTGTTTCCTTAAGTGATGGAGGAAGCGTTCCTACAAAATAACTGTAAAAAAGCAAATTTCATCATTACCAATAAGGTTAAAACCTCCCGGAGTTGAGTCAAACTCGGACATGCCACCGAGCCAAACACGGGTAAGCACAATCATGATCACTTTTTGATAATTCCATTATTGAAGAAAGATACCTATTGTAAAGGCTAAAAATAAAAAAAGTTAATAATCAATCCTAGAGGCGTTACTAATACCAGAAGAGGCCCCTGAGTAGGTTGCGCACAGTCAGAAACGTCATCATAATACGTAACGAATACATAAATATAG